CACAGAGTTTGTGTGTGTGCACAGAGTTTGTGTGTGTGCACAGAGTTTGTGTGTGTGCACAGAGTTTGTGTGTGTGCACAGAGTTTGTGTGTGTGCACAGAGTTTGTGTGTGTGCACAGAGTTCTAAGTGAAATCAAGGTTAGTGTAGTCTTAAAGCATTTGTTCTTTTTTCTGGTAAATGGTAAAATAGACTGAATTGTATTGTTTCAATTTCTCTCTCTCTCTCTCTCTGCTAGCAGGAGTTTGGTCACGTGTAAGTCAGACCTATCTGTGTGCTAATGATGACACCTTGAACACATTAGTATTTAATACAATCTTAGATAAATACAAAAGTCCCGTGGAGTTCTTGTAGTATGTGGGAATCAGTAACCACCACATTAAATGGTCAGTATCTGTAAATTGACTGTGTTATAACCATTGTGTTGTTCTTTTAATAAAGAAGGTATAAAATGAAGATACTGCACATGTCAGCTGGCCTCTGGGAAAGATTTATATTCACAAAACATTTTGTCATGAAAATGTTTAACTGAAGAAACACTGAAAACATGATTTCATTTTTCCGTTTTAATTAGGCTCATAAACGTCAGTACTTGATTATAAAAAGCCTTAAAGCCTTTTAATATGCACACATCTTAATAAATCCCACCTCGTATGCTGCTGAATCTTGTATCAGTGTTTAATTTATGAAGATAATTTCACTAGAAAGCCACAGATGTAGTTTTAGGGTTAAACAGAGCTTACTTTGTTCAGCATTGAGTTTACACAGAATAGTTGTCACGTTTAGCAGCTAAACATCTGTGGGCAGATGTGCACCTCCATGTGCATGCCTGCTGCTCCGGTCTCTTCTTGTGATATTTTGTGGTGAAACAGTGTTTACATGGTGAGGGTGTACTTTAATTGCCCTCTAACAGGCTGCGCTGTAAACTTTTCTGCACTCAGGAAGGATTTGTCACGGTTTTTGCTCGGTCTTTGTTGTCTGTCCCACTGACAGATCCTCTGTTTGTGCTGCTAATGGAGCTTTGAGTTATTTACATGCATAATTGCCATTACTTTTTCATGCTGTGGGCATCCGTGTGGATGCAGCGATGTTGTTGTTCTGCTGAGGGGAGCATTGTGAGGCATGATTTATTTACAGCACCCTGCTGCATCATGTGTTTTACATACAGTAACGCTATTTCTTCTGGATGGTGCTGAGAGTTCAGCTGAAGCTTTAAAGCAGCTTACTGGATAGGTTTTTAACAGCAGGGGAGATGTTGTGGTGTTGTGTGTATTGTTTTTGTTCCTCTGCTAGCTTTGTTTCTTGCCAGGTTTACTTTTGTCCAGACGATCTGTCTCCTCCATCTTACCTTGTTCTATTTTTTCCCATCTTAACTTAGAATTCAATACCTTTTCTCTCTGTCAATAATTTCCTTTTTTTCCCCTCTCTTCTGCTTGCTCTCCACAGCCTTAGGCTCAGAATCATTTTATTACACAAGTCTTTATGAATTCAGTCCTTTTCACTCGAAAATGATCAGTGCTTATGCTAAGGGACAAACGGGGTGATCTACAGCAGGGGCATCGAGAGAGGAATGTCTCATAAGTGAACTGATAAACTTTGAGAAGATGTGCATGGGAGTAAGTGTTTAAAGTGTGTGTGTCTGTGTGTGTGTGTGCGCACAGAGTTCTAAGTGAAATTAATGTTAGTGTAGTCTTAAAGCACTTGTCCTTCTTTATGATCCATGTTAATTCTAAGGAGACACAAATCCTCAAGAAATATAGTCAATATTTACAAAAAAAGCAATTACTAAGTTTGTTTAAAAGATCATAGAGAGGTTTATTTATTACAGGAAAGACTAACCCCTAATTTACACTACATGCGTTCCGGCTCTGCTCCGCTCCGGTCCGACCTCCGCAGCAAATACACACCCATAATAATCAATGAGAGTGTTTACACTGACTGCGCACGGTGGCGGTGAGCGGACGGCGGTCCGTCAAAATTAGAACAGATCCTATTTTTGCCGGACTCCGGAGCAGCGCCAGAGTCAATTTTTAAAGATTACGTTCACCAACAGGAAAAGAAACAAACACAACATCTGTATTTTCAAAATAAGACACTTTTAGACTGGATAATTTTGTCGGAATAATGTCGAAATCCCATCTATATTAATAAATATATGGATATATTTCTACACAAATGCTGTCAGAATGTATCGTTCTGTTTGGGAAGCAGAAGGAAACGTAGCATGAATCATATGTGTACACACGATACACGTGGATTTTATTTTGAAATCAGAAGTTTCAGAAAGCCTACAGCGAGACAGTTTCAACATAGATACCGAAAGCCTTTATATCAGTGTTTTCAGCTGTGTTTGGAGTTCGTCTTTCACAGAATTAATGATTTTTTGCTGTGACTTCCACATCACTGGATTTAACACGTGATCTCCTTCCTGCACATCTGTCGGACCGGAGCGGAGTGGAGCCGGAATGCATGTAGTGTAAATTGGGGGTAATTGAGCAGCATCAGGGTTCACAGCTCTGGGGCTACACACTGTATCTTAGATTAAAAAAATATAATGGAAGTGACTATTTATATTTAAAACAGGATTTTATTTTAACAGTTTTCTTGACTTGTTTTCTGCCGTATATGAATAAAATATCAGTAACAGAAAGATTTTATTAAGACAAGAAACAAACATCAATCTATTAAGCACTTTTCCACTTCATCAACTTCAGCCCCACGGTGTGGCCTTTCTTTGAAATCCTGTTGAACATGAAACATTTTGAACACATTTAAAGAAAGTTGCTAGAAGGAAAAAGTGTATTTTAACAAACTGTTGGGAGTTAGTGAAACCAGGCGTTCTGCAGAAACATGGTGAGAACAATCATTAGAAATAAAAGCTTGTCTTTCATCCAAACTGAATAAAAGTTGCAACAAATGAATTTATCAGTCATCAGGAAAAATTCACTGTCACAATTGAACAGCTAACAGACTGTTCTAATTATTTTATGTTCATTAAAAAAATGACTGTGATGCTTAATTATGTCAAAGTGCACCCATTGGGTCTCATGCAAGAACATGTTCGTATTCTTATCCTAAATTTCTCTTACTTTTGTTCGTACAAAGGGTTCGTACGAACATGTCACGTCAGATTCAATAAACTCTTCTATCTTCAGGAAAAGTGTGTAAATGAGCTGCATAAATTCCACCTGTTCTGCTCGTGCATGTGAGAGGAGATTAGCATAATTACCACCCCAAAAACACCATATAAGGCTATGTTTCCTGCCTCAGAT